CCGGGCCCCAGGAAATTTTTCAAAATATTTTTTTTTAACTGGAGATAAAAAGAAAATTATATTCACACTTTTATGTCTGTGAATTGCCATTTCCGGCCATCTAAAGGTGCCATATTCATAAATTTTTTTACCTCAGCCCCAACTATGGTGGGTATGAGGTGGTAGGCCTATATCTCCAACTGTGAAAGATCCCTACCTGGTCTCAGTTTTTTGATCGATCCATATTATACCATTTATATTCGTCGTTAAAAACATTTAGAATAACAATGTACATCTAAAATCCACGATGGAATTGGTGACTGGGACCCAGAAAAGGGCCCCCAGTTTCAGAAATACACAGGGCCTCCGTCCCCATTGTTACGCCACTGTTTGCAGTGTTGAATCTGGTCAGTCATTTGAGTAGTGTAAAGATATAGTTATAAAATTGCAATGCTTATTTAAAAACGATCAAAATCAGTAAAGTAAAAAATAGATGTCACTGTTACTAGCCAATGAAATCATGCAATATAATACAGCAAATAAGCTCACTGTCTTGATAGGAATTGTTTATCTCATAAAACATTTTAATTTTAAAATTGTTCTGTGTCCAAAGTACTCCTAATTTGTCTCTGAGCATTTCTAAACGTTTATATCCTTCAGAATCAATAGGCCCCTACTATTGGATAGAGGGGGCATACAATTGCTACAAAACATGTCATATCTAGGCCTATACTGTACTCAAATAGCCAGATTCAATATTACTGTGCTTTTAATACTTTTAAAGACCATGCTATACGGTACATAAATTGTGTCTAGTCATAGGGATATTTTATTAAACTAATAGTCCAACACACTGTCTTGACTACCAAGGCCTATATAAGAGATTCAGTGTTACTGTGCTTGTTTATACTTTTAAAGACCATGCTGTACATAAACTTTGTCTAGTCATTGGGATATTTTATTAGACTTAATAGTCTAATAATAGTCTTAATTTTTACAATGTCTTGACTACCAAGGCCTATTTAGGAGATTTTGGGCTACACCATAGCGTTCATCCATAAGCTGCAGCTTACTCGATACACCACTGAACAACTTTCGCGATGGAGAGGTCAGGCATGCATATTCATGCGTATCAGTATGATTTCTACCTTAACTGTATGGGAAAAAAAATAATGCGTCCGGCCGGCATATATGTATGTATATTATATTATATATATATATAGGCTTATACACATCTAGATGTGTATAAGAGACAGATTTAAGGTCATTGAGGTGAACTGATAACATGATATGCATGCTGACTCGCAAGTTGTGGATGAAAGCATAAATGAATGATACGGCGTATACCGTAGTAGTAGGGTAGGCCAAAATCTCTTGGTAGTCGGTCTAGCTGACGATGGTGTATTCGACACAGTGAAAATTAATGGACTATTATTAGTATTGTAATAAAAATATCCGTATGTCTAGACACTATTTACGTACAGCATGGTCTTTGCAGTCAGTGGTGTGACGCCTATGCGCTCTCATGTGGCGCCGAACTAGGGGCCCCAAAGGGGCCCTACCCATAGGTTCCTCGATTTAGTACC